CTCCTCCTCCTCCTCCTCCTCCTCCTCCTCCTCCTCCTCCTCCTCCGCCCCCCCCGCAGACGGGCGGAGGCGAGGCTGGGCGCGGAGCGCGCCTGCCGTGCCCGGCCGGGGGTGCGCGGGCAGGAGGCCGCCTCTGCGCGCGCCGGCGCGAGGGGGCAGGAGCAGGAGCAGGAGCCAGTGGCGCAGCCAGTTCCATTTGGTGACCCATGGGGGGACAAAGGGGTATGGTGACCCAGGGGCCCAGGGGGGGACAAAGGGGGGGACCCATTTGGCGCAGCCAGTTCCATTTGGTGACCCAGGGGAGTGACTTTGGGGGTATGTCCCAGGAGGGGACAAAGTTTGCCTGATACCGCAGCTGTCTTGGGTTAAGGCAGCGCCGCCTTATGTGCTAGTGTAGGCGGCGTCGCCTGCACTTTATTATGTGCCATTTGGTGACCACATTGAAGAGAAGGCCCTCGCTGCCGCCTTGCTTGGCCAGCGTTGCCCGGGACTTTGGGGGTGTTGTCCTCCCTCATGCGATCTAGGTGTTCGCGCCCCGTGCGTGTGGAGGGGGGGCGAACGTGGCTTGCCCAGGGACTGCACTTGCGGGGGGTGGGGGGGGGGCGGGCGGTGCTCGGAGGGGAGCTCCCCTCGCCAGGGGGGGCAGGGCGGGTCGGGTCCTGACGGAAAGGAGCGATTTCGGAAACCCTGAACCCAAAAACGTTTGCATCTCTCGGGGACGCATCTTTCACTTCCACCGACTTCCGCCGAGTTTCCGCTGGCTTCCACCGGCGGGGGTGGCCTCGCTTTACTTCCGCCGCCATTCCGCCGCCTTCCGCCGCGGAAGAGATTGATACTCGAAGGCAAGGTCCTTTTTGGAGCGCCCAAATGGGCCCTCAGGTCCTCACCAGGGGGGAGACGCGCCCTGAGGGACGCAACAGAACATACTACACGACGCATCTTCCACAGACGCGTACGTCCGACCCGAAAATCTACCATAACAATTTTATAGCAGATCGTTTCCAGAGCGGTACGGCCAAAAAGCGGTCGCCACGACGCAAGTACTGCAAGATTCCTCGGCGCGCGCGTCGCCCCCGGGTGGGCGACGCGCACATAGTATTAGTATGTTGGTGTGCCGCCGATCCTGATGGTGGGCCTGGGGGGGAATCCAAAGGATCCGACTTGCTGCTTTTCTTTCGAGACGTGACCCACCTTGACCTCTCAGCTCAGGTGGTGATTTTTCCGCCGCGCGCGGATTCGCCTCGACTGCCCATGGATCCTGATGGAAATGGGTCCTGAGGTTTGTCGCAGCGTTCTCAGGCTCTCGGGGTCCTCCACGGCCCCCGGGGCTGCCAAGAGACGACTCAAGCTGCAAAACTCGTGCTCGTCCTGGGGGGGGGGGGCCTGAAGCCCACGACCCGCTTCCCGCTACTCAGGAATCCGTGTAATTTTCCAAGGATTTCCACATATGTCCGAAGGGATCCGATGGATTTCCAAAGGAATCTGTGAATTGCCCAAAGAATCCAATGGTTTCCTGAAGGGACCCGATGGATGTCCTAAGGAATCCTATCCTGGGGCCCCTGGAGGGGGAAGACAGCGGGGAGTTCTTTCCGTCAAAGTATCCAAGCAGCGTAGAAGGCGGAATCCACTGCCCCTCAAGGGGGCTATCCCGAACGCGTAGCGCGAGCGAGACCAACCGCAAGACAGGAGACCAACCGAGTGGGACCAAGACCGAGACTGAACGCGGAAACGCCGTGCCGATCTTCGTCAGCGTCGATCTTGGTCAGCGTCAAGTCGTGCATCGTCCTCGCGACTCGGCGACTGCCGACATGGACCGTGAGCAAAATCGGCATGGACGAGATCCCGCGACATCCTGGCCGCAGTTCCCGGGCTTCTTCCCTGGGGTCCCTGTCCCTCGAGGCCACCCCAGAGTTGTGTTGCTCCCACCGTGCTGCAGGGCCAAATCCTACCAACAACTTCGAGCACTCAGAGAGGTATCGACACACTGTCGAACGAGTATCGCCTCCCAAGGCCCCACACGTGAAAACCCTCCGGTTTCGGTACTCTCTTGGTGCTCGAAATTCATTCTGGTGATTCGGGCTGAAGTAGGATGGAACACCATGTCCCCAGGGCACGATCAGTCAGCATCGAAATCGGGAACTCGGACTGAATCGGGAGGTGGGTCCGGTAGGGCCGCATCGGCACGGAGTCGGACTCGAGTCGGATCGGCAGCGCGGGGAGGCACGACAGCGACCCATTCAAGCGGCGGGACGCATCGGATCTTGGGCGCTCTGGCTGTGCCATTTGTTTGTTCACGATGCCGAGCTCATGTATCTTCTTACGGCGAATTTCTGCCGGGCTAAGAGAACGAGAGAGAGAGAACAGAGAGAAACGAAAAGAGAGAGAGAGAGATGAGAGAGCGAGAGAAGAGAGAGAGAGAGAGAAGAGAGAGAAGAGAGAGAGAGAGAGGGAGAGAGAAAGAGAGAGATAATGGAAACGACGAAAGAGAGAGAGAGAGAGAGAGAGAGAGAGTGAGAGAGAGGCAGAGGGAGGAAGGAGACTATTGGACGCGATCGTCCTTCGAGCATCGTTCCGCCTGGTTCCTCCCCGTGCATGGTCAGGGCACTAGCATCGGCTGACAGTCTGCGGCCGGATGCTAGAAATACCACGTCAACATGGACCTGCCTATCATTCCATCCCGGAGTCATTAACCTGCCGTCACCCATCTGCCGGCATCAAGCTTCGTCATCAACCTGCCGTCATCAAGTGCGGGCGCAGCACGCTTGGCACACGTGCTCCCCACCACATAGAAGCGACGGGGACGGGCAGCCAGCGACAAGAAAGTGCACGCTGAAGAACAAAGTCGTTTTGCCCAGGCTGGGAGTCTGTCCGCAGGCAACTACGCGCGGCTCTGGCGACTCCTCCTCCTCCTCCTCCTCCTCCTCCTCCTCCTCCTCCTCCTCCTAGCAAAAGAAAGCCACACCAACACCGTGGTCCAGGGGCAGACGAGGATATTCCGTGGCGGTGTGTTCCTGATGTTCGACACCTCTCTCAAGACTTTTCCGCTCTCCGGCATGGGGAGGCTTCATGGACCGTCGCCATAGGTGGCTCTGTTAGTGGTGGTGGTGGTGGTGGTGGTGGTGGTGGTGGTGGTGGTGGTGGTGGTGGTGGTGGTGGTGGTCGTGGTGTCGCTTCTCTTTCCTCCGATCCTCCGTTCTTCCCTTCTCCATCTTGCCCTCACATCACCCTTCACAACTATACGTGCGAGAGCACAGCCGAAGGGTCGCGGAACCCTGGTGCGGCATTCAGCAGGGTGGAGAAATAAGAAGCGAGGGGGACAGGTGGGACGAGGGCCGAGCTGATAAAGGCATGCCAGAAGCGCTCCCCGCTCAACCTCGCCCGCTGGGGGCCTATAAGATTTCCAACGTGCACTTCGGCATCCTCGTCCACGTCTTGCTTACGCATGCACCAACAGCACGCATCCCAAGCGGGCCTGCTCGGACCCAGAGATTTGCGCATCGGCTCCCAAGCAGGCAGGGAGGCACCTAGATACCCAGAAACACACAACTGGAGGAAGAAAAAACGCCATGCGTGGATTTCTTGGATCTACGCTAAACCCCCTCCCTGGCGCGCGGAGCACGCCAGGGGCGGCGCCGGAGGCGCCGCCAGGGGGGCCAAGCGCAGATCCAAGAAATCCGCGCGGAGCGCCAAACAGTTTATGTTTATGGGCTTATTCTTCTTCGAACAGATTGGCGGTTAGCGCTGCGCGAAGCGCGATTCTCGACGCGCCCTCGCACGATCTCCCTGGAGGAGGGCATCTCTATATGTCTTCCTCCGAGGCGCGAAACTATAGAGAGATATCTGGCCCTCGGGCCGCTGATGCCCGGTAGGACTGACTACCCATCGGTCGGAAGGAATAGGTAGAAACATGAAGTAGGAAGGCGTTGAAAAAAGATTAGGCTCCGTCATTCCTCTTGGGAGGACGGTAAGGGTGAAGCCATTCGATCATTGAGGTAGGAAGGCGCGTCAAGTAATTAGATTGGAATCTGGGATTCCAGAACTTCATACTGTCAATGACAGGTGGGAACTGAACTCCAAGGCTCATCAGAAATGAAGGGGCCCTGGGACACACAAACAAATAGACACGAACGAAAGGACCCCCAATCGTTTCTGGGCTGTCGTCTTCCCCCCCGCTTCCCGTATTTTGAATATATTTTTTGGGGGGTCGACGACGACTTCTGTCTGTGTGTGTTCTGCCCCTCCCGACGAGAAGCCCGCGCGACGCGAGAAGGCAGCGAGCAAAAAAGACACGCGCGGCCGCCACGACGGTTCCGCACCCCATCCCGGAGGCAGGGGGGCCGCCTGCAGAGCGCTGCGCGCTGGCGCCGAGCTGCGAGCGGCCGTGGCGACGGAGGAGGGCCCCGAGGGGCCTCCCCGGAAGGAGACCCACGCCATGAGCATAAGCTTTGGGCGCTCCGCGCGGATCTCTCGGATCCGCGCTGGGCCCCCCTCCCCGGACCAGCGCGGATCCAAGAAGCCCGCGCGGAGCGCCGACGGTTTATGTTGGTGGCGTTTCTTGTTCCTCGACTCCCTCCCCCCAAACCTGATGTTGCCACGAACCCCGACCTTGGAGGAAAAATGGGCGTGACTTGCGAGTAAGGGAAAACACAGGAGAGGGTGCCTATAGGGCGCATGATGCTGATTCCCGTGTTGTCCGTTTGACGCTGTGCCGCATTCAGGCGCATGATGTTGGTTCCCGTGCTGTCCGTTTGATGCTGCACTACTTTGTCGGGGCTTTTCCGACCATATTGGAGCCGTGTCGGGCAGTCTTCGGGCCCTGGAGCGTCTCCGACCATCTCGGGGCCCTCTGAGGCCAGTCTTGGGGCCCTCTTGGGGGCCCCTGGGGAATTCCTGGAAACTTCTTGGAGGCTCCTTGGGGCCTCTTGGGGCCTCTTGCGACCTCCTGGGGATTCTTTGGGCGGAGAGCCCGAAATGTCGGACCCTGCCCCCCCTTCTGGGGCCGTTCCTGAAGCGTTCCTGGGTTGGGGTCTCTCGGGCCGCATTGGAACGTTATGAAGACGGAAAGCCGAAAACAGAGAAGAACTGAAATAACTGAGACAAATCAATGAGTTTGGACTCTCGGGGGTCTCTTGGGAGACCTCTTGGAGGACAAGTGGGCGTGACTTGGGAGACATAGAACAGCAAAAAAGAAGATGCCCATAGAGCGCGTGATGTTGATTCCCGTGGTGTGCTCTTGGGGCTGTGGCGCTTTGTCGGGGCGTCGCCAGCCATCGTGGGGTTCTCTCGGGGGGTCTTGGGGCCGTCTTGGAGGCTTCTGGGGGTTCCCTGGGGGCTCTCTCGCAGCGTTCGCCAGCCCTTCTGAGGCCGTCTTGGGGGCCGCTGGGGCTGTCTTGAGGGACTCTGGGGACCGTCCAGGCGCTGCCTCGGGGGCCTCCTAGGCCACCAAACCTTTGGGGTGTCTTGGGTCGTCTTCAAGCGTCGGGAAGCTGAACAGGCGAGAACGAGAAAAACCTTCAGAAACCCACGGGAAACCAATGAATGTTGGGGAGCCTCTTTGAGGCCTCCCAGGCCGTCTTGGGGACTCAATCAGTGGGCGGCTAAAGACCGAAATATGGGTCCCTGCCCTTCCTCTGGGAGTCCTCTTGGAGCGTTCCTGGAGCCGTCTGAAGCCGTCTTGGAGGCCTCTTGGGCCGTCGTGAGGGCGTCTTAGACCGTCTGGGCGATCTTTCGGGGGAGTCTTAGGCCGTCTTGGGGCGGTGTTTGGGTGCTCTTGGGTCGTCTGGGAGCGTCGGGAAACCGAACAGGCGAGAAGGCGGAACACCCATTGAAAAACAGGAAAACAAACGAATTTGAACGCTTGGGGCTCTCTCGGGGAGCCTCTCCGAAGCCTTGCAGGCCGTCTTGGGGGCTCCCTGGGCCGCCTGGACCGATCAGTCGGCGGCTCGTGGCCCGCTTGGCCCATCTTGCGGACCACCTTGGGGTCGCTTGTTCGACCGAAAGCCGTATTCCGCCGTCTTCCGCCGGACTTCTGCCGGCGTTCGTCGCGTGGCTGGTCCCATGTCCTGGGGGATACCCCCCAGACCCCCAGGGGAACATTAAACGGGAACCCCTCCGCAAGGTCGGGGGAAAAGAAAAGAGACGAAGACGAGGATGTGGACGCCCGACATGGGTACGGAAAAATGGGCACAACCCCCAGCAACAGATGATGCCCAAAACCAACAGCGGCAGCTAATTGGCAGGCGGGTTGACTGTGTCTTCAGTGAACAACGTCCGCGGCGGCGCGGACAGCGAGTCTTGGTTCTAAATCGGAAGGAACTGCTGCTGGACATCGTACCCATCCTTTCCGTACCCATTGCGATGGTCCCGAGAGAAGTGACGCACCTATCAGCGACCGCAATCGGCCACTCGCGGGACAAAGGCCGCGGCGGCGCAGTCAGCCCCTACGCGGGCGCCGGCGCCCCTCAGCCCCTCGGCTCTCCCTTCGCCTGGGGCGGGGCGCGGGGGGGATGGGCTGGTCCTCCAGTGGAGGCCTCCTAGATTTAGGTCGGGCATGTCCCCCTACAGACGGATTTTGGAGAAGGAGAAATACAAACAAAAATCACCGAATATCTGACGATATGCAAAAATGGTACACACACATCGCCCCCAGATTCGAATACTCCTCCTGTAGAGGGACACGCCCGACTTAGTCCTAGATAGGGTCGGATCAGATGGGGTCCGAGGATCGCGCCGCATCGCCGATGCATCGCCGATGCATGGGCGACGCCAGCGTGGAGAAAATCGAGCTCCACATCGAGCCGCACCGCCGATGCGTCGCCGATGCATCGGCGATGCGGCGCGATCCTCCGACGTCATCTACTCCGACCACATCTGGGAGGCCTAGATCCAGAGGAGGGTGCGGCGGCATCGGGCGTGGCCGCCTCTCTGTGGGGGGCGCCAGGTTCCCACGGGGAGGACCGTGCGCGACCCCACAACGACCCAGCTGTAGTCCGCCTTGGCACTCTTTGGGCGGGGTGTGACATCAGCCTCCGCTCCACCCAGATCCGCCGAGGAGGAGCGGCAGCTGCAGCCAGAAACCTCTTGGGGAGTCCCGGCAGGACTCTCGACGGCAACGAGCTGCTCTGGCCACTCTCGGCGAGCACGGGGATGAGCAGCTGGTCCTGGGTCGAGAGCTCCGTGGGTCCAACATTGCGGAGAAATCGCGCGATGGAGCCGGCGTGAACGGGCTCGGTGCATCGCACAGCGTCGCTGGTGACTCGGCAGTGCAGCGGCGACGTGTCGACGGGGCTCACGTCGCCGATGTCTTGGAGATGCGACGCCATCCGCTCTGGCCCCGACTGGGCGGTCTCGACCAGCCCAGGGAGGACGTGGCAGGGCTCCCAAAAGAACCCCCAGGCGCCGCGGACGACATCCCGACGGGCGCAAGCGTCGGCATGCAAGGGGGCCGCCCTCGGAGGTCCGTCCGAAGTGGTGCCCGCTGCGAAGGAGCAGCACCGCCCTGGGGAAAGGGCGTTTGGACGCCCGGAATGGGTACGGAAAAAATGGGTACAATGCCCAACAACAAATGTTGTCCCAAACCAACAGCGGCCGCTGTTGGGCAGACGGCCTTCTGTCTCGAATGGACACAGGCCGCGGCGGCGTGGACAGCGAGTCCTGTTCAAAATGGACAGGAACTGCTGTTGGGCATTGTGCCCATTCTTTCCGTACCCATTTCGGGCGTCCAGAGGAAAGGGCGGGGGCCTCGAGGCCCAACGGGGCCACCGGCTGGGAGATCTCCTCCTCCTCCTCGTCCTCCGGCCCGGCTGGCCGCCGCCCGGGCGCGCTCGCTCTCTCCTGAAAGACTTTCCGCTGCGAGTGCCCGAATTACACTTCCTCCCGTCCTCCGCGGCCGCTCCTCCTCCTCCTCCTCCCTCCTCCTCCTCCTCCTCCTCCTAATCCTCCTCCTCCTCCTCCTTCCTCCTCCCCTCCTCCTCCTCCTCCTCCTCTTCTTCCTCCTCCTCCTCCTCCTCCTCCTCCTCCTCCTCCTCCTCTTCCTCCTCCTCCTCCTCGCGCTCCCCCTCCTGCTGCCGGACAGGCAGCTCGTCGTGCGACCCCGACCACTCGAGCGCCCGTGCGGGCTGCCTCTGCCGTGCTGCGGCGGGGAAAAATGATCCTTGGCGTGGGCCCTCGGGGGTCTCCACCGCGTTCCCCGGGTCCGGCTCTTCGTCCTGGCCCGGTGCTGAGCGAGAGGCCGAGAAAACCCAGAGATCGAACGCATTGAAAACATCACGACGTTTTTTTCAAAATGTTCGGCCTCTGGGGGCCCTCGCCGGGCCCCAGGACCGTCAAATAACGATTCAGGATGCAAAACCGGTCCTCGGGAAGGGGTCGAGACTTCTGGAGACCCCGCATTGAAAAAATCACGACGTCGGATCGCTGGGAACGTAGCAACGCTGGCCGCCACCGTTTTCGTTTGCATCGCGCCGGTCTGGGGCTGCCTCCCCCAGCCAGCCCAAGTCTCGGCGGCGAGCGAGGGGGGGAAGCGCGAGGGGGCGGGCCCTCTCAGGAGGCTCAGAAGTCCCCCAGCCTCCTGAGACGTGTTCGAAGCCTTGCCCGAAGACGCAGCACACCCCTCAGAAGGCGCGAGGGGCTTCTGAGAGGCCCCGCCGCCTTCTAAGAGGGCCTTATCCTCCTCACTCAGAGAAGGCTCAGGATCCCCTGGCCTGATGAGACGTGTTCTCGAAGCCTTCCCCGACGACGCAGCACACCTCTCAGAAGACGCGAGGAGCTTCTGAGGAGCCCCGCAACCTTCTGAGAGGGCCTTACCCACAGATATCCGATGCCGTGATTTTTTCAATTCGGGGCCCCCAAAAATCTCGACCCATTCCCAAGGACCGGTTTTTCATCCTGAGTCGTTTTTTGACGGTCCCGAGGCCCGGTAAGGGCTCCCAGAGGCCGAACACTGCGAGCAACCGCCGTAGTGTTTTTTTAGATGCGTTGGATCTCTAGCTCCTTCTCACTCCCCCCCTTCGCCCGCCGCCGGAGGATCAGCTCAAGACATCGGTCCCAGACTCCTCGCGGGGTCCCCCCTGGCCAGCTTGCCGAGCCGCGCTTCCGCCGCGGCGAAGTGCCAACTCCCACGCAGAGGCGCTCAGAAACAACAAACCCTAAACCCTTAACCCTAAACCGAAGCAAAGGCGCCGATACCCCCTTCAGTCCCCTGGACGCCCGAGAAATCCAGATATCCTCCGATTCATGTGTGGGCGTTCTCTTGCTCGGCGTCTCGACGTTGGGCGGAGGGGGGGGGAGGGGGGTCTGGCTCCGGACCTCTGGTCAGAGGCAACTGTTTGCAACAGTGCGTCCTCTGGGGGAGTCCTCACCTGCTCGAAACAGGCGCCGAAAACAGTCGAGATCTACTCCACTGGGGGAGGGGGGTGCGAGGTCCCGCGCCGATCGATCGGCAAAGCAATGAACAAACGATCAAAATTCAATCTGCGGCCCCGGAGCTCACGACCACTTCCCCAGGACAAACTTTAGGTCGGGCCTGTCCCCCTACAGGCGGATTTGGGGCGAAAAATTAAACATAGTCAAAAACCAAACATGCCCAAATATAGTCAAAGAATCGTCCCCAGACTTTTTGCTAGCATTTTGGAGTGTTCCCCCTGCTGGAGGACAGGCCCGACTGGAGACCACCTTTGCGCCCCGGGCCGGCTCTCGACGCCCCTTTGGGGCCCAACGTCGGGCCCCACGGCTCCAACGTCGCGGCAGAACGACGGGGCCGACGACGTTTGCATCCTCGGAGGCCCCCCTCGTTGGGGTCCGAGCGGGCGGCTGCGAAGGATCGCGCCGCGTCGCCAATGCATCGCCGAATGCCTCGGGGACGTCCTCGTCGAGCAGCTTGGGCTCCGCACCGAGCCGCGGTGCCGATGCATCGGCGAGGCGGCGCGATCGTCCGACCCATCTCCTCGCATCGCACCCGAGCGCCGAAACCAAAGAGCCTGGTCTTTTTGTTACCCGAGGTGGCATGGCGACCTTACGCTTAGGTCGGGCCTGTCCCCCTGCAGGGGGATTTTGAACGAAAGATACAACATTCTCAAAACATATTCAAAAGATGCCCAACAATACTCCAAACGTGGCCCCCTGACTACTTTTTTACTATGTTTGAATATTCCCCCTGTAGAGGGACAGGCCCGACTTGACCTTACGCGGTGGCTTGCGCGGGCAGCCGGCGCGGCACACGCCTCACTGGCAGCGAGGGCGCTCATACGCACGACCTCAGGCGTGGGCACCAAGCGCGCGCGGCCTTCCGTCGGCGCAGACGGCACCCTTTTTTTTGGCGTCGCTCACCTCGGGAGGCCTGCACTCATCGGTCCGACAAAACAAGGTAGCATTAGGTCGGGCGTGTCCCCCCACAGGGGGATTGTCGACGAAAAAAGAACCCCAATCATATTCCAGAATGGTCAAAAATATTCAAAAATAGTCCCCAGACTGCTTTTCCTATTTTTGAATATTCCCCCTGTAGAGGGACAGGCCCCACTTAAAGGTAGCAACATGAAGCAGGAGGGCGTTGAACGTACAGTCGGATTTCGTTGGACAGGACACGCGAGAGGACACGAGACCCTGCCGAGGGCCACGCTTGCCACAGGAACGTAGGAAGCACGGGTCGCAAGACACGGGACACAAGGGTACCCTTGATTTGGCAGGGTCGACCTACCAATCTGGGCCGACTGCAGATTGGGTATCCGCCCGCCCCCCCGATCGCCATCGGGTGGAAGCGGATGGCGCTGGCCGGCTGCGGGGCCCCGCGCGGCCTCTCCTGCGGGGAGACAGCAGGCGAGCGACGAGCAGAAGCGGGTCCCGCGCGAGGTGGCATGGCGACCTCGCGCCGCAGCTTCTGCGGGCCGCCAGCGCGGCACGCTACCTCGGAGACGCGGGCGCTCACGCGCGACCTCACGCGGGCAGCTTACGCGCCAGCGGCGGCACAGACGGCCCCGTTGTTGTTGCGTCGCTCAGGCGATCACGACCGCGTCGAGGACACACCCAGGGGGGGGCTCTGGCGCATGCCAATCGGCAAAGCACCGCAACCAGCTCAGCTTGCTGGGTGTGGTCCATGGGGGCGCCCCAGGGCAGCCAGACCGACCACGACCACGAGGGGCCGCCCAGAAGCACATCGATAAGACGAAGCCAGGACAATGATAAATTCTCGCGAGGCAGTCGATAACCTCTGATATCCGGCGGCTCTGGAGGATGTCTCGGGCGCCGCGGCCTTCTCAAAGCGTTCCGGAACGCTCCAGAACTGATTTATCCTCGTCCTATCCAGGCGGCGCGCACAAGGGGGGTAGGGGGAGGCGGGAATGCTTCTCAGAACAAAAAATGCCTCTTAGCAGGCGCGTTCCTGACATCTGCAGACGAGGCCCGCCTTTTTTTAATTCTACGAACCCTTACCCCCCTCCCCCTTCCAACCCTCCCCAGACCCCCGGAGTCGTGATTCTTCTTCACAACGTCGACCCCCAGAGGACTGGACCCCTCCCGCGGCACCGGGTTTTCATCCTGAATCGTTCCTGGACGGTCCAGGGTCCAGGTAAGGGCCCCCAGAAGCCCAAACTCATGAGAAAAAAACGTGACTTTGGAAGCGCGATGGGGTTTGGACCTGCGCGTGGCCGAGATCGGCTTGCTGTGGCCGTGTTTTTGTTCGCTGTGGCCGTTTTTTGTTCCCTATCTCGAGGGGCGACATGGAGGAGTGATTGATCAGGAACAGGAATGGAGGAGGAGGAGGAGGAGGAGGAGGAGGAGGAGGAGGAGGAGGAATTCGCTGAGACCCACGGGGTGGCAGCGAACTCAACGGTCCTCGATCAGCACTCCAAGCGGCGGGCCACGGAGGATGGCCTCGCGCCTGAGAGGTGCCCAGCTCACGGGCCTGGGTCGTCTTGGACGGCCCCGCGCGGCTGGGAAAAAGCCCCTTCTGAATTCGCGGAAGGTTTTCTTTACCTTTCTTGGTACGGGCCTTGCACTCGGTAACTAAATGACGTGGGTCCTCCGTGACAGTTTTACCGCACGTCAAACAAACATGCAAGGCAAACTTGGGCCAGAAATGCAACACATGCGAAGAATGACAATTATTCCCCCCCACAGTGAATGCTCCACTGGCCCGCACCACCCCATGATCAGCAAGACCTGGCTTGCAGCATGACGCGGAATTGCTGCAAATTCAACAATGTTATGCACGGGTGCAACTTGGTGACACAACGAGCACAGCCACTGACGTTCGGCCCTGACCAAAAAGTGCTCGCTCCGAAGCAAGGCCTCGGTGAGGCCCCCACCGCGACGAGCCTCGGGAGGCCGCTCGGCGGACCAGGGGGCGACAATGATGGCGTCCACCATGGCCTTTGCCGCGCGGCGCCTAACCAGCGCCGCTGTGCAATCCCGCAGATCAGCGTCGGGGGGCCATTGGCCCTGAAGGCCATGGGCCGAGAAACATGTGGCCGCCTTCCCCGCCAGAGTGTCGGCAAATCCGTCGCCCGTGGCATGCGTCCGCTCCTGAGGGGAGAGGGCGGGGCCCTCGGTGTCAACGTGCGACGGGCGCCGCGCAACTTGGACTTCACCCTCCTGTCTCGGCCAACGCGGCTCGGACACGAAACCAGAGGTCCGAGTTGGGGCCTCTACAAAACTCGCGCCTTCTGGAACGCCACCCACGATATAGGGCCGCGTTGTCCATGACGAAACGCATCGGGCCAAGGCAGCTGCGAAGCGCGAGTTCAAACGCGCGGACCTCGGCTCTGGTCACCGTTTGACGGCGACCCCCAAGGGTCGAGGCAAAGCCGCAGGTCCGCATCCATCCCTCTCAGGCTGGCGCCAGAGTTATCGCGGCCGCGCCCACTCTTCGGCGACGACCGACGGCCGCGCCCGCTCTTCGGCCGCTCAAACTGCCCGCCTGGGCCATCACCGAAGACAAGAATAAGGCCGTCCTCCCTGCAATCGAGATCGGCCCCGTGCACATCACCCACCCCCCACTCCACGACCCCCCCCCCGTCCCGAAACTTAGGGCACGTGAAGGAGCGAGGCGGAAACCCTCGCAGCCAGAGACTCGGGTTGGCCTCGTGGTCGGCGCGGGCCTGGGGAATCAAATGATCAAACTCTCCATAGGCGGGATCATCCTCATTGCAAGGGCAATCCCAAATCCGATGGAACAGGGTCTCCTCTGGGGCCCCACGTCGCGGGCACTTCGAGGACACATATTGCCACCGCTCGCGCTGCCTCCGATGAGGCCACTGGCCTCCAGCAGCGACAGTGACCAACTGACCAGTCTGATCGAATTCCTCCCGTTTCAGGAGACGCTGGAGCTGGGGCCGAATGGCCGACGCGTCCGCACCTGAGACCAGATCGTCCCCGTGCTCATGTTTTGCAGCCTGCTGCCACTGCGGGAATCTAAGGTCCCCAGCAAAATCGCTGACCAAATCCGCTATGTCGAAACCGCCTGCGACACGGCCAGCGGCAATGCCATGGAACTGTCAGGTTTCAGACGTGCCTGGCTCGATAGGCCTACGCCATTCCGCTGGGGACATCGGCCGCCAACCCCCGTCTCTAAGGGTGGCAATCACGGCCCCTATAGGCCCTCGGACTTGCCGCCGCCGAAACTTGGGGTCGTGCCCGAGACGCGCGGCCACCAATGGCCAGGCTTTCAAGATCCGAGGGTGGAGGGAGGGGCACTTGTCCTTGAGGTCGAGCCAAGAGCGGACCAGCTGGGCCCCTAGACTGATACCAGGATCCTTGTCCCCGAACCGGATCGCAAGAGTGGTGGTGAGGCATCTCCCTCGGCCCTTCCCAGCCACTGCTTGGGCCGCTTGCCTGCTCAACTGAAAAGTAGAAGATGGGGGAAGTCCCATCGCCTGGTGCCCGCGCACCGACTGAGGCAAAGCCCCTTGCAACCGCTGGCCTAGGGATGCCTCGGCGAGAGACGCGCGCTTCCTGAGTTTATTGTTTTGAGACCTCTGGAGCGGCCCTTGCTCAGACGCTGGTTGAGCCCGACGCGCGACCGACGCGAGCCCCCCGCAAAATTACATCCCAAACTCACCGCACGTTTGACGAGCGAGGCCGGCATCCCCAGACGGTTCAACTTCTTCAAAAGCTAGGGTCCCTATCCAAGAGTGTTGACCACTAACTTGGTCTTGGGTGAGATCGGGGGCTCCTGATCCGCGAACGACCGCGCAAACGAGTCAGCGAGCCCCGACATGGAGCCAACAACGTCGGCCCACCCCCCTTTCGGACCGAGCAGCGGCGTCATCTACAAAAGTCCAGATGGCGGACGAGGCCTTGGCTTCATTCATGGCGATCACCCTGTGGGCCTCGTCCATGATGGGCCCCCAAAAAAGTCTGGCCAACGGGGCCCCTTTGGATGATCCCGCGACCAAGGACCGAGCCGGAAAAACGAATTCGCTGCCCATGGCCCGAGATTTCAACACTCGCGGGGCGAAACACATCTGGATTTCCAACGAGGCGACGACAGCAGGGCAACTTTGGGATAACGCAACCTGGCATAAGCTTCAGAAGAAAGATCTCATGATATAACTTTTCTGGATCGAGCAGCAACGCGGCCACCGCGAAGCCCAGCTCGTGGGCAGCCTCGTCCATGACCGCCCGCTGAAGGGCGGCCCGCAGCGCTGACGAATTGCGCACCGCGGTGTCCCAGAAGTCGTTCTTGCTGTCAGCCCAGCGGCCCGTGGCCCCCGATCGCGCTCATGACCACAAGCCCATGAGCTCCGGGAGGACACCAATGATGCGCTCGCCTCCCGCTGGCTTCGGCAGCGTGGCGCAAAACGTCAGCAGCATCTGCAGCGGCCACGAGCCAACGTCCTCCGCAGCATAGAGGATGGCAGCGGCCTCTTGCTCGGCTGCCAGCGGCAACCTCTGCAGATCTGTAGGTCCAAGCACGTCGACGCCCTTGGCCTTGGAGCTCGGCAGCTTGCACCACAACGGCTCCAAACCATCAGTGGTGAGCGGCGGCAATGCCTCGATCTGGCTCTGAGCGTGGAGGTGTTCCATCGTGTCCAGAATAGCGTCGCGCGACGCGTTGACATCAGTCCATATCGGGGCCCAACGCTGCACCTTCTGAGCCATGATCACCTGCGGGTCCGAGCTGGCTCCTAGCGCGGCTGCGCACGGCACTTCCAGGACCTCCAAGAGCCCTGGATCCTTCACGTGCTGGTGGAGGTACCGCAACTTGTGGGCCCACGTGTCCTTTGCCAATTTGACGTGCGCCTGGGACGCGGCCGTCATGGAGCGTGCAAGCGCTCGGCCGACCCACCTCTCGGTAACCCCCACGATCTCATCCAAACTGTCGACATCAGCCTCGCCGTTGGGCAGCAAGCTCAGGTTGATCCAGTAGTTAACCTCTTCGGCGGTGGCCTTGTTGCCGAAGATGACGGCGCGCGGTTGCTCAAGAGCCTGCGGGACCATGGCGTTGAGAACGAGCACGCACCGATGCTGCTGATCCAGGTCGGAGCCGCTGCGCCCCAGCGAGCGGTACCGCACTATGATGGACTCGATCGCCCAACACCACTCCATCGTAGGCGAACGCATATGTGTGCGGCCAGGCGACGGCTTGAGTCGCGTCCACCTTAGCCCGTACAGATGGCCTCCCCCGCCAACCACCACTCCATCGTAGGCGAACGCATATGTGTGCGGCCAGGCGACGCCTTGAGTCGCGTCCACCTTAGCCCGTACAGCTGGCCTCGCCCACAGTGCCTGCGGGAGGAGGAAGAGGAGGAGGAGGAGGAGGAGGAGGAGGAGGAGGAGGAGGAGGAGGAGAAGGAGGAGGAGGAGGAGGAGGAGGAGAAGGAGGGAGGAGGAGGAGGAGGAGGAGGAGGAGGGGGAGGAGGAGGGAGGAGGGAGGAGGAGGAGGAGGAGGAGGAGGGGGAGGAGGAGGAGGAGGAGGAGGAGGAGGAGGAGGAGGAGGGAGGAGGAGGAGGAGGAGGAGGAGGAGGAGGAGGAGGAGGAGGAGGGGGAGGAGCAGGAGGAGGAGGAGGGAGAAGGGAGGAGGAGGAGGAGGGAGAAGGGAGGAGGAGGCGTGGCCGAAAATCTACTTCCCTGTGGTTGTGTTTTTTTTTGCTGTGCCCGGAGCTCCACTCCCCGCGGCCTCCCGGGCGCCAGGCCCAGCCACGGGTGGGCCAGCGCCGCCCCCGCGGTGCCCCGGTCCTCGGGGGCCTCTCGTCGGGCGCGGCCTGCTGACCGACCCCTCGCAGGCCATCCCCTTCCTTTTAGAGGGCAATCCACCAAGAGAATGACCACCCGGACACGCGGAGCTGTTTCGCAAACGCACCCTTGAGGAGGGAATCCAACAGGGCAGGGCTGATGAGTGAACGCCCAGGGCCGTTGAGTAAACGCCAACTGTCGGGTCTGGGTGGTTTCTCCTCCCTTGATTCCTTGGCTCGGAAAAGAAGCATCGGCATAGCCAGAATCTTTTGGCGCTTCGCGCGGCTCTCTTGGATCCGCGCTGGGCCCCCCTCCCTGGCGCGCGGAGCGCGCCAGGGGCGGCGCCGGAGGCGCCGCCGGGGGGCCCAGCGCCAAACATTTATGTCTTTGCCGTTCTGTCATCTTCCGCCTTTCGAGGTCCCCTCTGACCGCATACACACGTCTTGCTGTCGAGGCGAGGGGTGACGTCACGGCAGGGGATGGTTTGCTACAGTAGGAGACCGACCACAAGAAACCTCCAGCAAGAAACCCAACTCTGAGACCCCAGGATGTTGATTGACGTTTGGCGTGAGAACGTCACGCTCTCCGTCGCAAAACCATCGACCCCCCAAAAAAAACCCAGGGCACCCTGAAGACAAGCAGGGTGTCTCTTGGCAGGAGTCTCCACTGTGGGGGTCGGTCAGAGGTCGCCCCGAAGGTTGAGCCTTGCCCAGCAGCAGGCCGACGAATTGCCTCGCCTGGGCAGGGATGGCAAATATCTACAGGCAGCCCGCATGATGAGAAGGACGTGCGATGATAAAGATGCAGGGGCCTTGGCATGCCTTCCCAAAGTCTCGGAAGTCCCCCTGCCTTCTGCGAAATCTTCGAAGCCTTCCCCGATGGCACAGAACACCTGCCACAAGGCCGGAGGCCTTCTGAGAAGCCCCGCCGCCTTCTGAGGCCTTCTCCTTTTCACTTCCCCCCCCGCTCGCCAAGGAGCGCAACGCCGACTCCTACGGAGTCCGCGCGGGCGCCACCATGCCTTGCTGTTCCAGCGCGGGGCCCCCGAGGTCCCAATCCCTTCCCCAGGGCTGGCTTGTCTTCCCCTCCTCCCCCCACGCGGCCGCCCTCGTTTTGCTTCCTCCCTCTTGTGCGCCGGACAACTCTCCTTCTGGTTGCCCCGAGCAGCCACACGCTGGAGCGGACCGCCCCTGCCCAGCCGCAGGCGGAACAAGACCTCCCGAGCCTCTTCTGTAGGACCGTCCCTGGGCCCAGCGAGGGCCTCTGGAGTCTCAAGGCACTGGAGAACCTGTAAACGCTGGTCGGAAGAAGCAGGTAAAAACGTGAAGTCGGAAGGCGGATCTAGCAGATTGGGCAAAGGCCCTCACAGAGAAGAACAAGACCACAGCAAGAGCACATCGCTTCTTGAAGCAGGAAGGCATTCGAAGTGGATTCTGGGATCTGGGAGTCCAGATATACATGTTTTCAACGACCGACCTGTCTTCTTGTTTGCGCTCGATGCGTAATGGTCGGGGGCGGCCAAGAGCGGGGCGTCCAAGTCATGGCCGGCGGCACGTGCGCGGGCCAGGGGGGGGGCACAGGGACGCAATGAAGTAAGAAGAGGCGCCGTGAAATATTTGGACATCTCATGGCACACGCTATGATTCCCCCCCTGGTCATCACCCCTCTCCTGGCCGCCCCCGAAATGGGAAGGCTGAGTCGCTGTTGGGTGTTCCGGCCTCGGCCGCCAGGGGATCCCAGCAGCCCGCGTCGAAGTCCAGCGGCTCGCGCACGTTGGACGGCGGGTCGAAGGGGCACATGCCCGAGAGCAGCTGGTACATCGTGACCCCCAGCGCGAACAGGTCGGCCTTGGATGGCGCCCACGAAGGGGGGTAGGATTAGGTCGGGCATGCCCCCCTCCCATGACTTTGGACGAAAAATGAAAATAGTCGAAAGATCTTCATACAATGACAATCAAAACATCGTCGTCCGCAGACTATCCTTTCTATGTGTGAACATTTCTCCTGTAGAGTGACACGCCCGACGTACGGGTAGGGGGGTGCGCAAATCATGGCCCGAGGCAGGTGCGCGGCCAGAGGGCGGGCCAGGGGACGTGGCGAAATAAGAGGTGGCCGTGAAATTCAGGGACATTCCGGGGCCACCGTCATGATACCCGCACACGCACACACACACACTCATTCAGACCTACACTGAAACTTACACTTGCGCTTACACTTACACTTACACGCACACACACACACACACTGTTCGTCGCGGCCCCGCGCGCGGCAACGGGGCGTAGAACGTCAGGTCCAAGCGGCAGAACGCGCGCATCTACGCCCGACCGGGCTCTCAAAGACCACTTGGGGTCCCGCAGCGCCTGCGAAAACACACACAGACGCGCACACACACGCGCATATTCATTTACATACATATGTATATACATATATATATATATATATATATATATACACACGCATACACACACGCACGCACGCACGCACACGCACACACGCGCATACACACGCGCATACACACGCACACACGCACACATAGCTCCGGGTAACACACTCACACACACGCATACACACACACACGCGCGTATACACACACACACACACACACGCAAACGCACATACACACACATACACGCGAACACACACACACACACACTCACACACACACATACACATACACGCGCACACACACAAAACTGTTTTGGGCGTCGCGGCCCCGCGCGCGTCGACGGGGCGTAGAAAGTCAGGTCCAAACGGCAGAACGCGCGCATCTCCGCCCGGCCGAGCCTTCCAAGACCACTTGGGGTCCCGCAGCGCCTGGAATCACACGCACGCGCACACACACACACACAACACACACACACACACACGCACACGCACACGCACACGCACACGCACACGCACCCACAAACATACACACACACGCACACGCGCATACACACACATACACACAAATAAAACACGCGCGCGCGCACACACACACACACACACACACACACACGCGCATACACACGCACACGCGCATACACACAGAGTCCCCCCCCGCTTGGACGCACCCCGGCGGCCGCGCAGGTCTGCAGGGGCCCGGGCTGGCCCACGACCCGCCCCACCATCTCCGGGGCCAGGTAGCCGGAGGTCCCGCCGATGCTGGGCAGGCCCTCGGGAGCAGGGGGGGGCACGGGCACAGGCCTCCGACCGCAGGCGTGGGCCCCCTTGCGGCCTCGGCGGCCCGTTCTCGGGGACGGTCTCGGCCGACCGCCAACCCGTACCATGAGGATGCGCGGTGAGGATGCCATGGGCCTCGGAAGGCCGTCTCGAGGCCTTTCGAGTGGGGCGCGGCCAACGAAAGGCGCCGAGGATGGGCCGAGGAGGCAAGGACGCATGGGTACACTCTTGGGAGGGTTACCCGTCCTTGCTATGCGGGTTGACTGTAAGACAGAAACGCATCCTTCAAGCATACGAAACCCTCCGCTGGCCAAGCCACACAGAACATCCCAGGGTACCCTTCCCTGGGATGCACAGGAGCAGCCGACGAGCACGAAGAGCATCGTAAGTCACCCTCCCCGAACCGGCCTCGATCTTAGACCACGGTCCGACCGTACCTGAGACCATCAAGAACTGATCTGGGACGAAAATAGAAGAAGGACAAACATGAACACTAACACATAAACATAAACTTTTGTGGCGCTCCGCGCGGCTTTCTGGGATCTGCGCTGGAAGCCCCGCCCCTCCCTGGCGCGCGGAGCGCGCCAGGGGCGGCGCAGGAGGCGCCGGGGAGGCCCCAGCGCGGACCCAAGACATTTGCGCGGAGCGCCAAAAAGTTTCTGTTGACGCCGTTCTTCTTTTTCGGCAAGCTGAGAAGAAGGCGGAATCCACTGCCCGGGAGCGTGTTGCATTCTTCGGCCCGGAGGAGGGCTCGGGATCTCTGGGGCCGCAGATGGAGCAGAAAACACATCGGCGGATGTCGAAGGGAACACTGCGCAAGTGCGCCCAGTCCTGTGCCAGGTCCACCCCTGGGGCCCTCGATCGGAGCACGCAGCCCGCATGCCTCGGCAATGGAGGCATCCAACCAAAATCAGTAGTCAGGACGCGCTGAAAGGACGCAGGAACCATGGACGGTCCTTGGACGGCCCAGCTGAAGATTTTCTAGCAGCGCACTACCGAAAAAATCAAAGGACGCCAGGGTGCCCTTGGGAAGGTTATCCGTCCTTACTGTGGATTTTCACTGTGCACGACGCGGGTGGGACAACGACAAACAAACAAACAAACAACAACAACAACGCAACACAGCAGAATCCTCACCACGGATCCCCCCTTCAGCCACGCACCCAGGCCCGATGAATGAATGACCGGTGGGCCCCCCTCACTCTGATACACATATGGGCGATTTCGGAAGCCCTGAACCCAACAACGTCTCCATCTCCGCCGCCCCCCGCCGCGGAGCCAGGCGACAACTCTGAAGTCGGGCGTGTCCCCCTACAGGGGGATTTTCTACAAAAAACAAAGATACCCCAAAAATACCCCCAAAAAGGTGAAAGAGTATTCAAAAAATAGTCCCAGGACTATTTTTGGAATATTGTTTGATTATTTTTGGTGTATGTTTTATTTTACGTCGTAAATGCCTCTGTAGGGGGACACGCCCGACTTAAGACACCCCCTCCCGCCCTCGAAGGCAAGGGGCCCTCTCCGGAACGCCCAGCCCTGGCCCCGGGACTGGGGCCTGGCCGGGCTCGGCCGCGCGCGAGCCCCGCCGCCCGGCCTCGGGCGGCACCCGCCGGGTGAGCCCGAAGTCCCCCAGCTGCCCCACGTAGGCGCCCCGCACGCGCGTCAGGAACACGTTGTGCGGCTTCACGTCCCCGTGCAGGAAGCCCGCGCCGTGCAGGGCCCCCAGGCCCGAGAGCAGCTGGCAGGCCAGGTAGCTCGCGTCCACCTCCTCGAGGCAGCCCCGCGAGACACAGGAGGAGGAACATAGGAGAAGCAAGAAACATAACAGCAAGAAACATATACATATAATAAGAAGAGGAATCATAATAATAAGACTAAGAAGAAGACGAAGAAGAAGAAATATGATACCGGAGAAAAAAGCCCAAACAGGGCTATAGGGCTAGGGGGCTATAGGGCAATAGGGCTATTGAGCTATAGGGCTATGGAGCTAAAGGGCTATAGAGTTGTAGGGCTATAGGGCTATTATAGGCTATCGGGCTTAGGGCTATAGGGCACCCCCGGGCACCACCCGGCACCCCCGGGCACGCCCTGGCACCCAGGCACCCGGGCACCCGGGCACCCGGGCACGCCCGGGCCCCCCCCAGGCACCCGGGCCCCAGACACCCCCGGGCACCCGGGCACCCGGGCGTGCAGCGAAACTCGGCGACAAACCTAACCTAACCATATGAATCCGCTAGGACCCCTACAGAGGCAAGCTCTGATAGGGGAGTATCAAAAATCGGAGACACCTCAACGTTCTCTTTATATAAAGAGGAGGGGAATAAAAATTGCTTTTTCTTCTGTAGATAGACTTGAACGCCACGGCGCGCGCGCGGAGCGCGTCGGGGCGCGTCGGAGGCGCCGTCAGGGGGGGGGGACCCAGCGCGGATCCCCGAGGGAGCCGCGCGGAGCGCCACACAACTTCCTGCTTGTGGCGTTTGGTTCGTCCTCGCTTCGACTATACGCAAGAGTGACCCTGGGTAAGAGTGACCTTTGGTGCGCGGCTTTTGGGGGGCCGCGGCAGAACCAAACATAGGTGCGCAAGACGCTACTACCGCATCGCGTTCGGCGATCGGGGGACCCCACTGGGCCCGCACCAAAGGTCACTCCGGTGAAAGGTCACTCTTACGTCTAGTCGACTCGCTCTCCTCGAGGCACCTCCACGAGCCCGCCCCGATGTGGGTAAGCTTCTTCAGGTCGCCCCCCGGCGCGTACGGGCTCAGCAGCACCAGCTCTGTCGCCGTGGCCTGACGTCGGGCGCGTCCCACTGCAGGCGGCTTTTGGACGAACCATAAAAATAGCCAAACCATAATAGTAAAAAATCGCGAAACCGCCAAAACAGTAACAGTAAAGGCAAACATAGTCAACACAATAACGATACATGCAAAAATAGCCAAACATCATAGAAAAGTCGTCCCCCGACTATGCTTTGACTATGCTGGAGCACTCCTCCTGCAGAGGGACGGGCCCGACTGCACCGCGGCCTGCCCGAAGAGCACCGGCAGCAGGTTCGGGTGCATGCGGCCGAAGGCGCGGCACACCTCTGGGGCGACCCAGGAACACACAAGGAAAGACACACGAATCAAAGGGTCTCCCATATTTTTCGGTATTTTTTCAGATCGAATACACACAAGATCCATCAAATCAGAGGGAATACACACAAATCAAAGGGTTTCCCATATTTTGAGGATTTTCGTCTTCCCCCCCACCTCCCACGTGCTCCAATAGTTTCGCGGGAAGCGGCACTGACTGGTGTCTCTGCGTGTGTTTGCCTCCCCTCCCGGACCTCGATCTCCCGCCTCGCCATCTCCACGTCCTGCGGCCCGAGCTGGAGCGGCCCAGGGCACGGGTCTGTCCAGAGGGGTTGGCGAGGCCAGCTCCCCTCGACAACCCGCCCGCGGGTCCCCTGCCGAGGTCGAAGCTGACGAGAGTTTCGAATTATATGAAGATCGGGGATGGACAGACCCCTCTTTAGTACAACGTGGTTTAGTGAAAACGACCTGAGGCCCAAACCTTGCGGGCGCAGGCCTGGAAAATAACGGCCACGGCGCCCTCTCGAGAACCGAAAACGAACAATTCACTAATCGACGTGTCACTGTTGGGGGTTCTGTCCACCCCCGAGAAGAGAAGCAACGGCATGAGCACAAACGTTGGGCGCTCCGCGCAGATTTCTTGGATCTGCGCTGGGGCCCCCTCCCTGGCGCGCGGAGCGCGCCGGGGGCGGCGCCGGAGGCGCCGCCGGGGGGGCCCAGCGCGGATCCAAGAAATCCGCGCGGAGCACCAAAAGTTTATGTTTATGCCGCTTCGAGCGCAGAGGGAGGAACACTGATACCCAGACCTCCGACGTCAATACATATATATATATATATACACATACATCAACAAAAAACATGACGTGACTCTCAGAAGTCGGACCCGTTCCGGGGAACAGGCTTTTCATCCTGAGTCGTTCGTTGACGGCCCTGGGGGCTGGTAAGCGCCCCTGGAGACTGAGAATAGCGAAAGACCTCTCGCCACGATTTTTGGTTCTGGCTTTCACCTTCTTTGACAGAAAAAGAAGCGCCCAGCCCCAGAGCTCCGAAGTCGTAATTTTCACAATGCGGGGTCGGGGTCCCTGGAAGTCTTGACCCATTCCCCAGGATCGATGTTGAATCCCGAGTCGTTTTTGTAAGGTCCCGAGGCTCGGCGAGGGCCCCTGGAGGCCGAGAGCTGCGAAAAACCTCCGCCCTGATTTCTTAAATGCGCTGGATCTCTGGGGCCAGCTCCACGTCCTCCGGCACCCCGTCCAGCGGCACGCTCTTGGCCGCCACCAGCAGCTCCCGGCACGGGGAGCCGCCACCGCCCTCGTCGAGCGGGAAGCAGCCGCTGGAGCCGAGGCTGCCAGCCGACCGCGCGCGGCCGAAGCGGACGCTGCTGTTGGCCAGGGCGGCGGAGGGGCTGGACCCTCCGGCCTCGTACACCTGTGGTTAAGTCGGGCCTGTCCCCCTACATGGAGATTTTCGACGAAACATTGTAAAAAAGAAGCCCCCAAAACGGCAGAAACATATGAAAAAAATAGTCCCCAGACTATTTCTGGACTATTTTTTTATTATTTTTGGTGTATTTTTTATTTTTCGTCGAAATCCCCCCTTTAGGGGGACAGGCCCGACTTAAACCTATGGGCAGGGAACGGGAAACAAAGTTATGGGCCCGTCTTCCACCACCACCACAACCATGAGTCGGAGGGGGGAGGGGGTCCTCCTCCTGCTCCCCGCCTGCTCCTCCTCGTCCTCGTCGTCGTCCTCCTCCTCGTCCTCCATCTCCTTCCCCCCTCCAACTTATGGCGGCGGTGGTGGAAACAGGCCCATCAAAAAAGGCATCAACGTAAATTTCACCAGAGGAAAACCCCAATCAGTGGATGGTTTGATTGAGAAGGATGTCGACCGGGAACCCGGGAACCCAGAACCCACCGAAATCAGCCCGGAATCAATAACCAGGAACCCGGGAACCCGGAACTGGGAACCCCGGAACCCAGCCGACCACCGAAATCGGCGGGAAACTTTCGCCAAATCTTTCGATGTCCGCTAGGACCCCTTCAGTGCAAGCACTGATTGGGGGAAAACTTTTGGCGTTTTTCTCGGATTCGAGAGAAGGCACAACGACATACGATCGGGAGATGGTGCTTGGCGTGTCGCGGCGGCGGCCCCGGAGGCACGCCATGCGCTGCGAGCCGATGGCGTGTGGCTCCGCTCCGCGGTGCGGGAGGGCTGGGCAAGAAGACCCTGGACGTTGAGGCTTGGGGATTGGGGAGTGGTCAGCGTGTCGCGCCGGAGAGTGGTGGACCCGCACCGGCAGAGCGACACGCCAACCAAAAGCTCCCGCACGTAGACATCAGCTGTCGGAGGTCCGCACTGCTTTCTTGGATCGGCGCCAGCGCAGATCCAAGGGATCCTTGCGGAGCTCCGAAAGGTTCTGGTGATGCAGTCTTTCTCCCACGGGTGCCTCCGTCGTCTCGCCTATAAAGTGCCAGCCGCCCACCACCAGCTGGGTAGGCCCCTCGCAGACCTGGCACCACGTGCAGCACAGGGAGATTGCCAGCCCGCAGCCGCCGCACAGGATGGCTCGGCGGCGAGCCCAGGGGGGAAATGAGACGTGGCGGGCCTTCTCGGAAGGCTCGGAAGCCCCCCGACCTTCTGATGAGTGTCCTGAGCCTTCCCCGGAGACGCAGAAAACTTCTCAGAAGGTGCGAGGGCTTCAGAGGGGACACGCCGCCTTATGAGAAAGACTTCTCCTTATCATGTCCCCCCTCGCTCGCCGCCGAATGGCGGGCGCGGCGTCGTCCAGCCCGCCATCGAGGGAGCCCGTCCGGAAGACGGCGCGCTGCCTCCGCTGCAGCGGCGAGCCCGCACCGCTGCCCCCGCTGCAGCTCGCCAGATCCTCCTCCGCAGGCGATTTCTCACCCCGCATCCCCTACCCCCCATCGCTTCCTTCTGCGTCACAGTCGTGATGCTCTCTGCGTATTGTGCTTCAGTTGTGATGCGCTTCCTGCTCGCGCCGCGCGCTGTCGCAACTGGGAGATTGTAGCTCGGATTCGCAACGGATCCCGATGCTCTTTCCCCAGAGGTTTTTGGTTAACAGGTGCACGGCTCCTGCCGTCATTTGCCCATGCGCCATGTAAGCGCCGAGCGAGAAGAGACAATCCCCGACTTCTGCACGACAAATCGGGCCGCTGAGAACAGGAGGGGAGGACGGGGGTAAACATCCCACGTGGGCTGCTCGGACACACACGCGTAGCACCCCTGTCGAAGATGGACGCCCCGCCCCACCGCACGTCCCTGAGGCCCACTCGAGTACACCACGCGGAGTCGGTGATAGGGGTCGCCATGGGGGTTGCCCTCTTGTGATTCGCGATCACGGATCTGTTGTTCCCATTGCACTCAAGGACCACATCCCAAACATAGATTCGAGCACCCAGACAACTGTCGCAACAGTGCCTGCCCGACACGCTGGCGAGGTGCCGAACGAGACTCGCCTCCGAGGGTCAGACACGTTGAACCACCCCGGTTCCGGCAAGTTCTCGAAATTCTTTCTGGTGGTCGAGGCTAAAGTTAAGTCGGGCCTGTCCCCCTACAGCGAGATCTTCGACGAAAAATTAAAAATACACTAAAAAAATCAAATAATAATCCAAAAATAGTCTGGGGACTATTTTTTCGAATATATCTTGCCTTTCTGGGGTATTGTTGGGGTATCTTTAAGCTTTCACAGAAAATTCCCCTGCAGGGGGACACGCCCGACATAAGGCTAAAGCACGCTGGATCATCACAAGACAACGCCCGTGACCGGCACTGCCCCCCCCCCCCTCCCTTCCTATCCCCCCTGGTGGCCGAGGCTAAAGCACGTTGGAGGAGGAGGAGGAGGAGGAGGAGGAGGAGGAGAACGAAGAGGAGGAGGAGGAGGAGGGGGAGGAGGAGGAGGAGGAGGAGGAGGAGGACGAGGAGGAGGAGGAGGAGGAGGAGGAGGACGAGAAGGAGGGAGGAGGAGGAGGAGGAGGAGGAGGAGGAGGATCATCACAAGACATCGCCAGTGACCAGCACCGCCCCCCCCCCCCTCCCTTCCTCTCCCCCCCCTCCCTGGTCGCGTCACGCTTCGCGCCAGCGCCGCCTGGGAAAATCAGCAGTCCCCGAGCAGCTCCAGGCGTCCCCGGCGCGAGTCGCGACGCGACAGGCCACCTCCGATCCTCCCTCCGCCCTCGGGCCACGCCCGTTGCCGATAGGATATTGCAGAGCGGTCTCTCATCCCTGACCTGCGACGCCTGGATCTCTCAAGACGGAGTCCCGAGAAGGCCCGACCCTTGCCGGTTTCTCTCACCCCGAGAGTGTTTTTCGGGCCGGGGATAGCAAAGGGGGGGGTTGAGAATCAGCTCGCGTAGCTGATTTTCCCGGCGCCTCCCAGCGCCGGCGCCGGGAGGCGCCCATGTATCGAGGAATGGACCCGGCGGCGGGGCCGAACCCAGCTGCATGCAGCAGATTTCGCAACCCCCCCTTTCCCTATCCCCCCCTTTTGTTCGGCCCCAGTTTTGCTGGTCTCATGGCCCGGCGAGGTCTCCCTCCGGCCGAAGGCTGTTAAACCCAAATCCGTCCGGTCGTGATTCTCTTTCACAGGACAAGCATGCTGAGATATCCCCTGCTACTCTCGACGAGCGCGTTCCACTACTCGCAAAGTGGCTACTCGCAAATGGCCTGGATCCCCTCCGGAGGATCTACGATAAGTTACATCAAAGCGGACATGTGTTTTTCGTGCGGAGCGTGCAAAGGGCGGCGCCGGAGGCGCCGCCGGGGGGGCGCAGCGCGCATCCAAGAAGAAGAAATCGGCGCGGAGCGCCAACATTCTCTGGTCATGCTGTTTCTTCTTGTCCTTCAGTGTTCCTCCTGGTCTGGCCGGGGCGTGAACCTGCGCCGCCATGGCAGCGGTGAGCGGGGGGGCTCGCGGGGCGCCTGGGCCTCCGGGCCACCCCTCGCGCCGCAGGCCCGCGCCGGCGGCTGGAACGGGGGGACGGCGGCCGGCGCCGGCTCCATGCAGGGGCGGTGCCGCCTCCCCCGGGAGGGGCGGCAGGGGGCTCTGCACTGCTGGTGGCGCCTCGAGGCCACATGCGGCGCAGGGTCGTAAGAGCAGCGGCGACGTAGCCGCCTCCTCCTCCTCCTCGTCTTCGTCCTCCTCCTCCTCGTCCTCCTCCTTGTCTTCGTCCTCGTCCTCGTCCTCGTCCTCGTCCTCGTCCTCGTCCTCGTCGCGTCCTCCTCCTCCTCCTCCTCCTCATCCTCCTCCTCCTCATGCTCCTCCTCCTCCTCCTCCTCCTCCTCCTCCTCCTCCTCCTCCTTCTCCTCCTCCTCCTCCTCCCTCCTCCCCCCGAGAGGCGGCCGTGGCGCGGTGGGGAGGTAGCGGCGATGTGGCCGCCGCGACGGCAGCGGTGCGGTCGGGAGATGTGATGAGAGAAGGGAGGATGCGGGAGTGAGCGAGGTGGATGTGTCCCAGTCAAAACAAGAACCCCGCATTTAGGAAACGTATGTGGAACAAAAGCCCAACAATTGGAACGTGGGGTATAGCAACAAACCCATCCGTACATTGGGCATGGGGGAAATTGAACCGGAGCTCTGGGCCCAATCTTCTTGCAACATTTCTCAAGCAACGTTTCTCGAGCTGGATCGATCCGTGAGGGTGCCGAGCCCCCAAAAAGGCGAACTCGCCCGATGTGAAAACTGCGACGCCAAGAGCTCAAGGTTCGAAGCCTTGGTGTACCCGGGAAAGGGCAGATCCGTTTTTGCGCCGGTTTCAAACAAACACCTGCCTGTGGAATATGAACAAAATATAAAAACACTGATCTTGGAACGGGGCAAACAAAAATCTCATCCGTGATTGGAACTGGGACTGGAATCGGAACAAAGACGGCGCCAGAACCTGGACAAAAGCTGCGCCGGCATGGGCGTACAAAAAAAACAGCACGGCACTGTGGAACAAACAGGCCCTGTAGTTCTCAGGGCCCGCTCACAGAAGAAGAACAATAACCATAGACAGAAACTTTTGCCGCTCCGCGCAGATCTCTTGAATCTGCGCTGGGGAAGAAGAATAACAAAAACCATAAGCAGGGCCCGATAACAGAAGAAGAATCAATGACCATAAACAGAACTCTTGCCGCTCCGCTCCCTGGCGCGCGGCGCGCGCCGGGGTCGGCGCCGGGGTCGCCGCCAAGGGGGCCCAGGCGCCGACCCAAGAAAGCCGCGCGGACCGCCGGAAGCTCATGCTCATACACACAAGTAAAAATAGCCCCCATATTTTCCCATGTTTTCTGGGTTTCTGTCTTCCCCCCCCACTTCCCATATTTTCCTATATTTTCCTGGGGGTCGACGATTCATAGTGTCTGTGTGTTTTTTCCCTCCCTGAAACAAGCTGCTTGTGCCGTCTGTCTTCGTCGATCTCTCGCCCCGTCGCTCGGGCGTCCCTCCCCTGTGCTTGTTTGTCGGTGTAGTGCGTGTTTGTTTTTTCGCAGGAGGCTCCAGGAGCTGAATAATCCTCGCCGAGAAAAAGTGCACGCGTCCGAGCGACCCCAAGGGCCAGATTCATGATGTTCCAGCCTGCTTCAGCCTCGATTGCAAGGAAGAATTTCGAGCACCAGGAAGGTACCGGAATTGGAGTGCTTTCACGTGTTGGGGTCTGGGAGATACTCGTCCGACACTGCTTCGACACTGTTTCGACACTCTTCTGGGTGCTCGAAATTACTTCTGGGATGTGGTCCTTCATCACGATGGGAGTAACATAAAGCCAGACTCGAGACTTGGAGCTCGCGCGACCGGCGGAGGCGGGCCGCCTTCAGTCCTGGGGCGCGGGGGGGCGGTGAAGCCGCGGCTGCTGCCCATGCTGCCGCGGCCTCGCGGGGGGGGGGGGGGGGGCGCGGCGCTCCGCGGGCACGCGGCGCCCCGCGGGCGCGCCGCGGCGGCGAGGGCGCAGGGCGGGTGCTCGCGCAGGGACTTCTCCGGGGAGGCCGCACAGGACTCGACAGGGCTGAACCTAAACGGAGTTCTTCGTTCTCCTTTTGTTTTCGTCTGGCGTGTGTCTCGGATCCGCCTTTACCGCAAAACGAAGTCGAAACGAAAACGGCCCACGAAGTCACTAAAAACCACCGTTTAGGTGAACCTGGGATTCTATACAAATCACGACGGGGGTTTTCTTTGTTGCCTTCGGCCTCTGGGGACCCTTACCAGGCTCCGGGACCGTCAAAAAACGACTCGGGATGGAAACCCGGGCCCTAGGGGAAGGGGTCCAGACCTCTGGGGGTCGAGGATGTGACAAAAATCACGACGTCGAGGGTCTGTGCCTTGCTCCACTCGGATCACAGCGGGTGGTGTGCCAGGGGAACAGGGGGATAAGGCACAACCTGGCCTGACCCAACCTGGGCACCTCCGGGTGGGTCGCCAGTGCCCCAAGTGGCTCAGGGCGACGGAACACCTCTGCCAAGTTGGCGAAGCCAGCGAAGCCCGCATCTATACCCCCTGAGCTAATCAGGACGCTTGCGGCTCACTTGTAAGATAGGTTTTTCCCCCCGAGCAAAATGACACCATAGATGAGGAAAAAGACGCGTCTCAAATGCAACCTCTTTGTTGCACCATACCGAGCACACCATGCCCCTGGACCCCTTTCAAAACAGGGAGCAACAGAACACGGGTGGCATACATATGAGGAATAAAACGCGTCTCAAATGCAACCTCCTTGTTGCACCATGCCGAGAACTTGTAAGATATGTTCACCCGAACATCACCCACCTTAGCAACCACTTCTGGCGCCATGCCCCCGCGGCACCCCCCGCGGTGAGCCACGCCTCCGCAAACGCAGCAACACGCCATGAAAAGCGCACGCCACTTTCCGAACTGCTATAGGCTGGATCGAACTCTGAGATTATGGAGGGCAACCAGCTGGCGGAACCAGTCGCTAGTCCCGCCCGGCAGCAGAGATGAGTAGCCTGAACTAAGGGAACGAAAAATGGCATAAACATAACAACTCTGAGGTCCGCGCGGATTTCTTGGATCCGCGCTGGAGCCCCCTAGCGGCGCCTCCGGCGCCGCCCCTGGCGCGCTCCGCGCGCCAGGGAGGGGGGGCCAGCGCGGATCCAAGAAATCCGCGCGGACCTCCGAGTCTTTATGCTCATGTCATCTTTCGCTCCCCTATGAACGCACGAGCAGGGGTCCGACAGGACGCTCGAGACGCAGGCTGCCAAGACAGACGAGGATCGATGGCCTCTGTCTGCAGCCACCTGGCCCGGGCGAGGACAGTCGCCACAGGAGGCGGCGGGCAGGCAGAGATCGAAGAGGGTTCGCGGATCCGAGGCTCTCCTCCATGTTGGGAGCCCTCTGGGACTCCAGGAGGCACCTTGTCGCTTCGCCCAGCCAGGAATACTTGCACAGCCTGGGCTGGTCTGGAGAATGCAGAGTCAGGCTGCGAGGTCACTTGGCGTCCGAGCTGGGTTGGGCAAGGAGGGGCCGAAGAGGCAAGGATGCGTGACCTGGCGCAGCACCCGGCCCTGGAGGAGGCCGTCGGCCATCCAACGACGCTGATGTCCTGCGCCCGGCATCGGCCCGGCGCCAGCACCGGCGTGAGTGTGTGTGTGTGTGTGTGTGCGTGTGTGTGTGTGTGTGCAGTGGAGGCCAGCCACAAGAAACCATCCACAAGGAAACCAACCCTGAGACCCCCAGACGTCCATTGATTTTTTGGCGTGGGAGCGTCACGCTTTCCATCGCAAAGCCATCGAAGCCCAAGAAACCCAGGGCACCCTGGGGGCAAGCACGGTGTTTCTTGGCATGGGTCTCTAGTCGACGCCCTCTGGACGTTCCCGGCTCCTTAAGCAGATCAGGACGGACAGTTCCTGTCACGGACAAGGTAGCACCGCATACTTGCACCGAGGGACGCTCTGCAGCAGAGACGGGCCAGCCGGAGCCCGAGCGCGCCACCAATCCGCGCAAGACCGAGTCGAGAAAGTCGCCTCGTCAGGGGCGGAGGGGAAGCGGGTCAGACTGGCGGCCCCCCCAGCAGCCATCGCCAAGCTGGCCATCGCTCGGACGTCCATTTCCCGTCCATGTTTCGGTTTCGTGCGTGTTTTTTCTTTTTTTGCACGATGGTCCAGGATGGTCCTCGATGGTTCTCGCCGTGAAAAAACTGCACACGTCCGAGCGATGCCGAACAAGATGGCCACTCACCTTCCGCAAAGGGCCCGAGGCGAGCCAGGAGAGCCCCTAGGGGAGGCATCCGCGGGCGCCGAGACAGCCCAGGAGAGCCCCGAGGAGGTGTAAGAGGAGGAGGAGGAGGAGAAGGAGGAGGAGGAGGAGGAGGAGGAGGAGGAGAAGAAGAAGAAGAAGAAGAAGAAGAAGAATTAAGAATAAGAAAAGAAGAGAAGAAGAAGAATAAGAAGAAGAATACGAAGAAGAAAAGAAGAAGAAGGGAGGAGGTGGAGGGAGGCGGAGGAGGAGGAGAAGGAGTGGAAGGAGGAGGGGAGGAGGAGGGGAGGAGAGGAGGGGGAGGAGGAGGAGGAGGAGGAGGAGGAGGAGGAGAGAGGATGAGGGAGAGGAGGGGAGGAGGAGGAGTGGAGGAGGAGGAGGGAGGAGGAGGTGGGAGGGAGGCGGAGGGAGGAAGGAGGAGAGGAGGAGAGGAGGAGGAGGAGAGAGGGAGGAGGAGGAGGGAGGAGGAGGTGAGGAGGATCGGGAGGCGGATGGGAGAAGGAGACGAACGAGAAATAGACGCGAGTTTTTTGTCATTCTTTCTTGGCTCATGGGGCCCTCACCGGGCCGCGGGAGCGTCCAGAAAGAACACGCAAGGATGAGAACCGGTCCCGGGGAGGAGGAGGAGGAGGAGGAGGAGGAGTAGGATGAGGATGAGGAGGAGGAGGAGGAGGTGGAGGAGTGGGAGGGGAGGTGGAGGGCGGCGGAGGAGGAGGAGGAGGGGGGGGTAGGCGGAGGAGGATGGGAGAGAGGATGAGTGAGGAGAGGAGGAGGAGTAGGAGGAGGAGGAGGAGGTGGAGAAGGAGAGGAGGAGGAGGAGGAGGAGAGGAGGAGAAGGAGGTGGAGGAGGAGGAGGAGGAGGAGGAGGAGGAGGAGGAGGGCGCA